TTGAAAATCTTTGCTGTTACTTCATGGACGTTTTCTAGGAGTTTATGTTTTTCAAAATACAAGGTCTTTAACAAAAAATAACGTCTACTTATTGTCATCGGATTAACACCAAATTTTTACAGCTTTAAGGTGACAATGAGAGGAACTTGAATGTGTCCAGACAAACTATTTCATCGATTATTTACCAACGAGTTGTGGTTTGAGTTGGGGGCAATGCGACTAAAACAGTAATTGAAATTCAGCACACTATTTTTTATAACGCGTTGCTTGAATAAAACTGACCAGACACGTTCAATTTACCAGACTATTGAACAACTAGGAAAAGTGAAAAAAATACTTCTTACCGCCAGCATAAATGCGTAATTATTTTTCTTACAGAAAAAGATACGGGCATGCAAAATACACTTCTAAAAAGCTTGAAGTCTGGCGATTCTAAAAATATATACTTTCCCGGGTCTATTTGTAGTCATTTAGTCACAATTAGAAGATGAAAACAAGTATGCAAATAATAGTCCCGCTTCCTTAATAGGGAGGTAATTATAATAATAACACAGCAAAGTTTGCATGAGTAACCTCTTTGAATGTCATGATTTTTTGACAGTTATTAATTTCAGACCAGCTGGGCCAAATTTTTTATCTACATCAACATTTTTGAAAAAAAATATACAAACAATTATTTGGGTTTCTTTTGTTAAATGTAACCAAAGTTGACTTTGATATTGAAAGGTTTAATGTACTGAAAGTTTAGGCGGTATTTCCGTAAAATCTGTATTTGAAGCCGCCTTCCTAATAGAAGTTGCACCCATTCTCTTTAAACAATTGGGAACCAAACATTCATCATTTCTCATATGTGTAGGTGCTCTAATAAAATCCGCATCCCCTCCATTGCATTGTACTATTTTAATAGAATCCGCGGTTTCTAATACATATTTTACAGTACAGTGTGTCAGTCAATATGACAACAATAACTATATCCCAATTTGTTTCAGGATTGCAATATTTATATTTATGATCATACAGCAACAGTTACAGTAGATGACTGTGTCAATTGTAGGATATTTATAGGACCCATAAAAGGAAGGTAAGTCATGCCAAACTTAATACATTTCAATGATCACTGCAATACAAAGAACTTTGGGTTCTCTCTGCATTACCATGCATCATTGATTGGTTAATGGGATTTGTGACCCATCAATTCAGAGGACGCAATAAGCTAATGAATATTAATGAGCTTGGCCACAATGCAAATACTTTTTTTTATTCAAGTCAAAATATTATTATAATATCCTTGACTCTCAAAACACTTGAATTATATTTGCAGTAGGGTTACATGTGTTACCAATAAATGCAATGCAAATACAGCATTTAACTAATGAGCAGTATAAGGTATTACCAGATTCTGCTGGTGGTGGCCCTTATTTGGTGTTCAATATTTTAAAAAATGATCATCAAATATTTGTTTGGAACTTCTATTTTCATTGAAAAATCCACCTAAGTCGACTTTCAATAATGCCAGCAGTTAAAAAAAAAGTTAATCTAAAATTTGATACATTTTTTCTTGCTGAATTAAAAGGTCACCCAGTGTCATCTTTCCCCCCAAAAAATTACATTAATGAACCTGGTATGGCGAATACAATTAATTTTATTGGTAATAGAAGTATATTCTATAAGAAGTTTCAAATAAAACGAACACAACTGCATTGCTTATTAGCAAATGATCACGGTAGCGCAATCCGGTCATGCTACATTTCACAGTTCTGTTGTTGATTATTACTCGGTAGTGATTATAAAAATCTAAAAAAAAAAAAAATTAAACTTAGTTTCATCGTAAACGAATGATTCTGGTCGCATATTTAAACGCTCGATGCTGTAGGATATCTGCCATGTTTTTTCTCTTGTATTCATTGACCTGGGACGGTTTTCTTTGACCTGATAGGTCAAATTGCTAATTAACCAATCAAAATGATAGATGATGCTAACGTGTTCAAATTACCATAGCTCATTTAATGTTATTGAACGCAACATGGAAGATATTTGCCGATGTTGTAGTACGATCATTTGGCTTGAATTTTGATAAAAAAACTGCATGATTTTTTTTTAAACAAAAATATTAGTTGTTTTCAAATTATAAACTGAGCATTTGAAGAATAATTTAACGCTGTTTTCAGTGATAACAGCTCATTGTTGAAACGAAGCTTACCCTTTCATGCTAGTCACAATAAACATCATACTCTTGAATATGTAGTCAACGACTACGAAATGACTAAGGTAAAACTTAATAAATTACACTTTTTAGGCGTCACGAAAGATTAAAATAACACCTTAAAAAACTGCCGAAAAATCATATTGGGTGATTTCTTGGTCCCATTCTATTTTTTTTAAAGCAAAACTGCCGCTTAACAGCCTAGGGCGAATTTACGGCAGAATCAGGTATAAAAATATATAGTGAAGACGTCATATGTTGTCTAACTGTATAGATTGACTTCCCAAGTACGGTAGTTCATGTGCACCAGACATTAAAAGAAAAGAGATGTAAAAATTGTATGTTCCATTGTTAGTCTCCAACTGTCCTACATACGGTACATTGCCAGTCATGGAAATTTATTGTTGGAGAGCTCATTTTATGAATTTTACATACATTAATGCATACATTATGGCTGTCATTCTACATACTTCTTTTTTTTCAGTGTTTACTTCAGAGATTGTAATAACTGTAAATGTGTTGTAGCATGCCAACAATTCAGAACAAGAGACTGTAAAAAGATGGATATATTTCTATGTTGTCAAACACAGCCGATCATTGAGTCCTCCATTAACATGAAATTTGCTTGTTTTCAATATTACTATCCAGAATTGAAAGGTATGTTTATTTATGATTTCCAATGTAATACATACTGTGTGAAATAGTATTATAGTGGGTGTAATTGAGATTTGTACGAGTGCCTTGCAACTTCCCTATCAATGCGAACAACCCCATCAACTTTGAAGCGAAGCAAATAACAGGCGCACTGATACCTTACAACTTCCTTTGTCTAGTCATCAACAACTCCAATATGAATCTTATTTGTGCCCACTGTAATAATATTATTTTGCAAGACTGCAGTACATATTTAGCGTTATTGCAACGTGTTATTGCAAAAATTGATTTTCCTCATATTGCTGAACATTATTTGACCAAACTTCTTAATAATACAATTTTTACTTTATTTTTATGAACATTCAAAGATCATTTCAAGAAGTCAGATCTCAGTGTATACAATAACAATTGGAGTAGTATTCATGATTTTACACCTGTACCCGGTGAACAAAATTGGTCTCTTCTTCCATCGGTAAGTATATAATGGTTATTTCCTGTCTATCATCAATCTCTCTCCTTTTATCTGACTCTTTTTGCTTGGCAAAAGCTGCATGTCAAACTTAGAGATACATTGCTTGAAAACTTAAATTACTCTTGAGTTGAATCATATGGCTGTTGAATAATTTTACAACTGTTTGAATTTACTTGTGTATAGATTCGCTTTAATTTAGATCCTACAGTATTAAATTCAAAACAAGGATTATGTTTTGTATATATTCAGACCATCAGATGTTTTGCATATGTGTTATAGTCCATGAAGCTCTAGGAATGATCTCAGAGTGCAATGTTTTTTTACAACTATTTTAACTATTTTTATTTATTCAAATCAATAATACTTTTACAGTGCTATTAAAAAAGCTAAAATGGTTTACATCATCTGTTTATATCGGTTTGAAATGTTAAATTACAACTGATAAATTCATAGAAATGCATTACAACTGAAATGATCATTGAAACAATGACAGGTTATGACTTACCGGTAATATGGACAAATTTGGCGCATTTTGAACATAGAAATCCCCCAAAATAGAGGATGGATGCTTAGTCAAGCATGGGTGCTAAGTCAGTTGTGTACAGTTTATATAAATTCTGAATAATTTGTGTAAAAGATATCTCAGATTGAAATTTAGGGTGACCTAACAAGATTTCTTTTGCATTTAACTGTCTTCTCAAACAAAATGCGTTTTCCCGAATCATCAGAGAATATATTCCAGTATGGGACACTGCACAAGGAGATGCATTAATGCAGAGTGCTTAAAGCGAACCTAAATGCGGCCTTAATTTATAGTTGTGTATATTCTAAACTGTATTCGAAATAATATTGCAGTGGTTTAATTTTGTTTTAATTATAACTGTAGCTTGGATAGGCATTTGAAGTGCTTGCCATGTAGGCCATTCATGGAGGGGAATAATTAACGAACGAACATATTTAACATCCGGGTACTTTTCAAAGCTATGACGTTTTAGTATCTGATCGCATTCGTATACGCCATTGTACATAGCCGTTCATGCTGCCAAGCATTGTGTACTATTAGTATAAACTCAACTTTTATATGCACAATGTGCTTTTTAAAACTTGGGTTAGAGCCTTATGCGTTTGAACCACAGTATTCTGAGAGTGAAAGCCCAATTGCGTTAAAGTACCGTACTTCCCCGATCGTAAGCCCCTCCCGAGTATGAAGCCCATCCCTATGTTTTTACTTGGTATTTATCGAGTTGAGGGCATTCACGATTATAAGCCCAGAGTGTTTTTACTGGGCGTCGACGATATTCTTTAAAATATGCGTGTAAAAGGTGTGTTTCATTTCATAATAATCGTGATTGGCATGTTAGTTTGGTTCATGCTTTTAGTTTTATGAGAAAACTCGCATTAATTTCAAGTTCAGAGTGCATGGCGA